AAGCTCCCAATAAATCAGATGGATGCTTTAGGATGACCTTTGGAGTTATTTTATAAGTGTCAGATCCTCACAGAAATGTGTGCAATGGCATTTACAAATTTTAGGAAACTGCAAAATGAAGCCAACATACTCTACACACAAGCCCAATTTGATGTTAATGTAATCCCAAATGAAAGGTGAACTTTAAACTTTAATCTCCTCTATACTACAGAAAAATCATACTTCTGTGGTATCCATGTAATCAGGAGTGTTTGTTGTTTTCATTGTGGGGCAAATATCTGGGGCTATTTTCATAATTACTTTTTTGGGAAAAATTACTGGATTTGCCCCCTTAGGCCTCTTGCACACAGAAAAAGAAATGCCACGTTTTACTGATTTGAAATTAGATGCATTGTTGTCTATAGAACAATGCAAACAAATGAGTAAAGATCAGTAATACAGTGAAGAGTACAGAACCGTAAAACAAAAATAGAAAATGTTACATTTGAGTGCAGTAATTGACATGCATATGCATATTTACACATCTGTAAGCATATTTACACATGTATAAATGAGTATACTACAACACTGGCAATGAAGAAGAATTTTACTAATCTATATGTTTACACACCTTTACAAGTGTTTACGCAAGATCTTTACAGAACATTTTACTCAGGATCTTTCTGTCAACCAGATCCAGAGTATAAATATTGGTAAATTATTACGTGGCATGTGCAACTGGCCTTATGCTTCCTAGTTGAAATTTATAAAGTAAAAATATAGCAGTTTTGATGATAGAAAAAAAGGTGCCAATAGTGCTGATTTTTTTTTTAATAATTCACCTTTTATTATTACTATTATTACACAGAATTTATATAACTCCATCAATTTGCACAGCACTTTACAACATGAGGGCAGACAGTACAGTTACAATACAATTTCATACAGTAGGAATCAGAGGGCCCTGCTCATTAGAGCTTACAATCTAAAAGGGATGGTCCAGTGATACAAAAGGTAATAACTGTGGCGGATGAGTTGATAGAAAAAATAAAAGTACAGTTGTTAGGCAGAGGCAGGATAGGCTTCTTTGAAGAGAAAAGTTTTTGCCTAAAAGAGGACAGAGTAGGAGATAGTCGGACAGATTGGGTTAGGGAATTACTTTGTATGGGGGAGGCTCTGAGGAAGTCCTGGAGGCGAGCACGGGAGGAGGAGGTGATGAGGGAGCTAGAGAGCAGGAGGTCTTGGGAAGACTGAAGAGAATGATTTGGTTGGTATTTTGAAAATAGGATAGCTTGGGGTAGGAAATTCCATTGTATGGGGAAGGCTCGGGGGAAGCCCTAGAGGCGAGCATGGGAGGAGGTGACGAGGGAGCCAGAGAGCAGGAGGTCTTGGGAGGACCGAAGAGAATGATTTGGTTGGTATTTTGAGAATAGGTTAGTGATTTCGGAGCAGAGTTGTGTATGGCTTTGTAAGTTATTGTTAATTTAATTCATTGGGTGAGTGGCCAATATTGTTAATTTAGTTTGTTCGGTAAGTGGCAGCCAATGGACAGAAAGGCAAAGAGGGGTAGCAGACAATGAACGGTTGGTAAAGTGGATGAGTCTGGCAGTAGCATTCATGATGGACTGAAGGGGGGATAGCCTACAGTATGTAAAGGTAAGCCAATGAGGAGGGAGTTGAAGTTGGGAAGAGAGATAACCAGGAAGTGGATTAGGAGCTTTGTGGTGTCAATGGTTATGAAGGGGCGTATTTTGGAGATGTTTTGGAGATGTTCGGAGGTTGAAGCGGCAAGCTTTGGAAAGTAATTAGATTTGGGGCCAAAAGGAGAGTTCAGAGTCCAGGATTGCACCTAGCACCCTGGCATGCAGGCACGGGTTAATAGTTGAGTCACTGATCTTGACAGAGAAGTCAGGGGAAAGGGGCATGTTAGGGAGTAAATATTAAGAGCTTGGTTTCGGACAGGTTAAGTTTGAGGAAATGGTGTGACATCCAGACTGATATGTTGGTCAGTAAATTAGTGGTGCGTAAGAAGACGGTTTTGTGAGCTGAGGTGTAGACATAGAGAGATAGACTTGGGTGTTGTCAGCATAGAAATAATAGTGAAAGTCATGGAAGGCTATCAGCTGACCCAGGGAGGAAGTATAGATTGAGAATAGGAGAGGTCCCAGAACAGAACCATGGGGGATTCCGAGGGAAAAAGGAAGAGGAGAAGAGGAAGTAGAATTGTAAGTGACACTGAAGGTGCAGTGGGATAGGTAGGATAAGAACCAATGAAATGCACAATTACAGAGACCAAAGGAGTAAAGTTTTTTTTTTGAGGAGGGGGTGGTCAACCATATCAAAGGCAGCCAAAATGTCCAGAAGTAGGAGTACAGAATAGTGTCCATTGGTTTTAGCTGTTAGTAAATTGTGAGTTTTAGGAGAGAAGTTTCTGTGGAATGTTATTCTTAGTAAGGTGGTCGCTCAGCTGGTTGAAGAACAGGCGTTCAAGGAGTTTGGAGGAAAAGGGGAGCAAGGAGATGGGGCGTAGGTTGTTAAGATTGGTGGGGTCCAAGGAATGCTTTTTAAATATGGGGGGGTGCATGTTTTAGAGAGTTGGAGAAGATGCCAGAAGAGAGGGAGAGATTGAAGATGTGAGTTAGAGAAGGTAGGATACTGTCAGAGGGTTACCGCAGTACTTCAGCAGGAACAGGGTGCAGGGGGCAGGTGGTTAGGTGGGCATTGGAAAAAAGTTTAGCAACCTTGTAGTATGGTTGAATAGGAGAAGTGTTGAGTGTACCTGTGGATATGTGGTGTTAATTGGGGCAAAATCTGCAGAGTGAAGGTTTCATCAATTGTATTAATCTTATTTTTGAAGTGATTGGCGATCTCCTGGGCAATGAGTGAGATAGTGGGTGGAGGCTGTGGAGGAAGAAGTAGAGCATTAAGGGTAGATAGTTGACAGGGGCTGGATGAGGTGTTAATGAGAGTGATAAAATAGGTCTGCTTGGCAGTGTGAAGGCAAGAATTGTATTTCTGATGGGCAGATTTATATTGGTTGTGGCTTAAGACTAAGTCTCACAATGACTTCAGACGCTCAAGAACACGGCTACATTTTTTGAGACTTGTGTCATCTGTTTGCCAGGGTTGTAGGGGTCAGGGCCTGACTTTGTGCATAGTGAAGGGGGCAAGCTCGTCCAAGGCAGAGGACAGGGATCTATTGTAGACAGAAGTGGCAATATTGGGGCAGGAAAGGGGTGAGATTTTTTCATAGAGGTGGTTAGTAGCAAAATAGAGAAGAGAAGGGTTGAAGTGGCCAAGATTTCTATGGGTAATTGTTAGGCGGTTGAAGGGAGAGGAGGTGGAAGAGAATTAAACTAATAAGGTGGCGATCAGAGAGAGGAAAAGGATTGTTGGAGAGGTTGCACGGAGTGCATAGATAGGAGAATACAAGGTCAAGGGTGCCATTGGAGTGAGTGGAAGCCTGTATCCAATGCTTCAGGTCAAATGAGGAGTTTAGACTAAGAGGTTTAGAAGTACCTTTTAGTATTGACAGGGATGTTGAAGTTGCTTAGAATGATTGTGGGAATTTCAGAAGAGAGAAAGTAGGGTAGCCAGGCAGAGAAGTCATCAAGTAAAGTTGATACCGGTCGAGGGGGCAGTAGATCCCAGCAATTCTTAACGAAATTGGAAAAAATAAACGTATACAGTGAGCTTCAAATGATGAGAGGGAGGAGAGTGAAGAACCTGAAAGGCGATCTGTGGGGATAGGAGGATCCCCTCCACTTCCCTTGTGTGCACTGAGTCTGGGGGAGTGAGTCCCAAGAAGGCCAGCATGTGAGAGGGAAGCAGGAGATGGATGGGAAACAGCAGCAACATAAATGCAAGGTTTACCTGTGAAGGGAGAGAAGAGATGTTCAGGTGAGCAAGAGCAGAAGTGCCACTTAATTAACAAACCCCACTTTATTGGAAGAACCCCAACATGCATCCCTCTGGCATGTGTCCCCCTGGCATAACATGTTATATGTTACACCCATATTCAGGGTGTAACATGTTATGCAACGACTGGCCCTTGCTCCCCTCTTTGACCCTCTTTGAGCGGGTTTCCATCCATCCGGCCACTTCACTCATTCACAGTATTCTGTGAATGAGAAAACTACAAGTCCCGACAGCCTTAGTGGCTATTGACTTGTAGTTCTCGATGAACTACCATGGCGCTGTGAGCATTGTGGTAGTTCATTGATTCTCCCTGTCAGAGTGTATCGGCTTGCTCGTACGGGATGTACAGGCAAGCAGATATACTGATATGTCTGCAGGAGTACTGCATAGCACCAGTGATCTGCTGAGCGCTGGTGCAATGCTTTCCAGGCTCCTGCAACAAAAAATAAGAAATGCATATTTTTTTACCCCGAAAAAAAAGGTAAATTTATTATTTTTTGTCAAAAGGTGAACTTATCCTTTAACCACTTGCCAACCGCTCTATAGCCGAATGACTGCTGCAGCGCGGTTATCCAGTTCTGGGAGGGCATCATATGAAGTCCTCCCAGAACGTGCCCTCCTGTGCACACCCCAGGGGCGTGCACCTGGTGGTCTCTGTGATCGCTGTGTCCTACGGACACAGCTGATCACATGATGTGGTAAAAGGCCAAACAGTAAATGCAGTTGCCGGTTATCGGCTGCACTTTCCTCATGCTGTCACAGCGTGGGGAAAGTACTGCCGATAACTGGCAATTGTCAGAGGACGGATTGGCACCGATCACCAGTGCACTGATGATCAGTGCCCAGCAGTGCCACCCATCAGTGCCGCCCACCTGTGCCCAGCAGTGCCCCCCACGAGGGCCCAGCAGTACCACTCATCAGTGCCCAGTAGAGCCACCCACCTGTGCTCAGCAGTGCCTAGTAGTGCCTCCCACCTGTGCCCAGCAGTGCCACCCACCAATGCCCCCATCAGTGCTTCCCAGCAGTGCCACCCATCAGTGCCCAGCTGTGCCACCGTTCAGTGCCCAGCAGTGCCGCCACTCAGTGCTGTCACTTGGTGCCACCCATCAGTGCCCATCAGTGCTGCCCATCAGTGCCGCCCATCAGTGCCCATCAGTTTCGCCTATCAGTGCCCATCATTGTTGCATATGAGTGCAGCATCATCAGTGCCGCCTATCAGTGCTGCCTATCAGTGCCCATCAGTGCTGCCTATCTGTGCCACCTTATCAGTGCCACCTATCAGTGCCAATCAGTGCTGCCTATCAGTGCAGCCTCATCAATGCACATCAGTGAAGGAGAAAAGTTACCTGTTTGCAAAATTTTATAATAGAAACAAAGAAAAACTTTTTTTTTGTTCTTTTTTTGTTTATAGCGCAAAAAATAAAATGCCCAGAAGTGAGTAAATACCACCCAAAAAAAGCTCTATTTGTGTGAAAATAATTGTAAAAATGTCATATGGGTATAGTGTTGCATGACTGCGCAATTGTCATTCAAAGTGCGACAGTGCTGAAAGCTGAAAATTGGCCTGGGCAGGTAGGGGATATAAGTGCCCAGTAGGCAAGTGGTTAAATTATTGTGCAGTTACTGGATATATATAAAAAATAGATATATTTTAAAAACTGTCCATTTTGTTTTCAGCTAAGTGCATCCTGAATTTTCAGTTTCGGTCCAGAATTTTCATTTCTGTCATGTCAACAAAATAGATATAATAATAATATATTTGACTCCAAATACACACAGTTTTTTGGTTGACTGACACATCTATGAAACCTGAAAAAACAGCTCTGAAACTTAAAATGGACCTAGCTAACATCATATATACTGTATATTTTCATATGAAAATAATGGAAGCATAATAATATGTAAGTGTACCGTTTCACACTGGCATTGTCCTCTGAAGTCGATCACTTTTCAGACAGCTTTTGGCAGATGGAGAGGAGGCATCATGTAATTTCCTTACTGCCTGTTTTAATCTGTAAAAGCCTGCACCATCGAAGCACAAATGCATGCATTAAAAGTTGTTGAGGTGCACTTGTGGCACAGCCCAATTCACTTGAACGGGTCTCATTTGGCAGGTAGGGGATAATTGAACCTTTAAACCACCTAAACATGACAAAACTGAGTTGCTCACACCATCAAGGTGAGGACAGATTTATGAAATTTCTTCTTTAGCTCACAGTATGCAAAATAAAATGATGGTGTGAATATGTAGTATGACATTGGTACTGATACACCTGTATACATATCAGATTACCTGTTATCCTGCTTAATTGCTTTCTAATTAGTAGGCTAGGGGAGTGTTGCATTGCTTACCAAGCTGTGCCTGCTGCAGTGGTGGTTGGGATCTAGCTGTGGTGTCTAGCAGGGATACCTGGGTCAACTTGAGGGACAGACTTATACAGGCGTACCTCGGTTTACGAATTTAATGCATTCTCCATAGGAATGCATTGAAAACCAATTAATCCGTTCCTGAGGTCAGAAAAAAGTTTAAAAAAAGTCTTTTATCTGTTCAAAACCCTTTATAAAGTGCACTTTAAAGGCATAAATACTGTACAGGGACATGGTAAAAAATTTCCAGAATGGCTCCAAACCTCGATGCAAAAACCTCTCCAACATCTCCAAACTCGATGCTACGTGCTACCCACAGACTCCAGCATGCACGGGGCCGAAGCTATGAACCTACCAGGTGCAATTTATCCTGGGGAAACTTGGTTCCTATTCCGAAAAAAATTTGTATATGCATTGAAAACCAATTAATCCGTTCCGGAAGTAAAAAAAAAGCCTGATCTGTTCAAAACTCTTTATAAAGTGCACTTTAAAGGCACGGGGGGCCGGTGCTATAAACCTCCCAGGCACAATGCATCCTGGGGAAACTTGCTTTGTATTGCGAAAATAATTTGTAAACCGAGGCATTATTTTCAATGGATTTTCATTAGTAAACCGAAAACTACGTTAACCGAGGCACGCCTGTACATCCTTCAGCAGGTAAAATGGTTTCCATATACTGTATGTTTAGTTGTCTATTTAGGTACTTATCTGGAGTTAAGCTATAGTAGACCACAGCATAGCAAAACAAATGGTTTACTTTCATGTAGATCTCCCTAGCAGCATATACTTCCCCTCCTGTTGTTCCCATTCCCCCAATTCAGCCTCCAGTAGTGAAAGGAAACTTCAATGCAAGCTATAGTATACCTACGTTTTAACTTACATAAAGATATAGACTCCTCATATAAAAGCAATGACTGGTCCAAAGTAGTCACATGGAGTGAGTCACATATCCAGAAGTAAAGAGTGATTCCTTCATCAACCAGCACTAGACAAAGTGGTAGGGGAGAGAAATAAAGGTAAGTATATGCTGCGTGGGATGGGAAACTCATTGATTTGCCCTTAATGGGTAAAACTTTTTTTGCTTTAATGACTGGTATTGTAGTACTTGGTTAGCAAAAGTACAGGGGGCTATGGATGTATAGAGTATATGTTGTTTTTCCAGCTATGTAATCTGAAGGGAACAGGGTTGAGTACAATGGAATATGTAGCAGCATTTTTAAATAAATACATAGGTTTAAAAATGACAAATGTACATCAAATTCAACCAAAAAGTAACTTTCCAGCTTCAAAACCCTAAACCCACATCCAAGGAAGGCACAAAACCTTACAAAGTATAGTCCAAATTGCTCCAGATGTAAGAAAAAACATCCATTATATGTCTGAACTGTTATCAACTTACTCCACCCCTCGTAACCTCTGCTCCTCAAATTGTGGTCTTCTGTGTGCCCCCCTATTTACCAACACTCGATGGGAGACAAAGCCTTCTCCTGCTATACTCCAAAACTCTGGAATTCTCTTCCAAGGAAGATCTTTTCTAAACTCATTCAAATCAAATCTAAAAATGTTTTTCTTTAGACAAGCTTTCACCTAATGGTCCTTTTTTCCTTTGTTTTATCCTGTATATTTCTTGTTTGTTTTCTTTGTAAAGTGCTTTGAGAAACTACCTTTTAAAGGTGCCATATAAAATATTATTATACAGGATTTATATAGTTTGCGCAGCGCTTTACAATATAAGGGAGATAATACAAATACAATACATTTCAGTACAGAAGGAATAGGAGGGCCCTGCTCATGGAGATTACAATCTAAAGGAAGGGGGAGGTGATACAAAAGGTGATAGCTGCGGGGGATGATCGGGTGGAGGTGATTCAAGTACCGTTCTTATGTGAAGGTGGGGTAGGCGTCCCTGAATAAGTGAGTTTTCAAAGATCACCTAAAGGCAGACAGGGTGGGGGCTGACCGGACATACTGTGGTAGGGAGTTCCAGAGGATGGGAGAGGCTCTGGAGAAGTCCTGGAGGCGAGCGTGGGAGGAGGTGACGAGGAAGCTAGAGAGCAAGATGTCTTGGGTGGAGCGGAGCAGGCGATTTGGACGATATCTGCAGATGAGGTTGATGATGTAGCTAGGGGCAGTGTTATGGATGGCATTGTAAGCTGTGGTTAGTATTTTGAATTTTATAAGTTGGGTTAGTGGAATCCAATGAAGGGATTGGCAGCAGTCACTGATCGGTTGGTAAGGTGTATGAGTCTAGCAGTAGCATTCATAATAGACTGAATGGGGTAACCCGTGTAATGGTAGACCAGTGAGGAAGGAGTTGCAGTAATCAAGGCAGGATAATAAAGTTCATTATTATTATTATCCTGATCTCCAAAGGCAGACAGATAACTTACTGGGTCTTATATATAGTTATATCAGTAGCCACTAATATTTTGTGCATATATAGCAGAAAATAGTATATTGTTTATAATAGTATATTAGGTGGTAGGAGAGAGATGCTTTGCACTAAAGCCTTATACTTTTGTATGTGTATACCTTATATTCTTTGAGCAAGTGATAAACCTATTTAAATTGTGTTAATTAGTATGTAACACCTGCAATCCTTCTTTAACCCCTTAGCGCCGCCGGTGCCTCCAAGCCCTTTAAAGAATTTGTGATGCCAGAAGGTGGGGCGGAGTTTAGGTTCTTGTGACCATCGTGGTTGGCTGTCACATTGGTCACATGATCGAAAAGCTCTCAATTGCAAGTAGCGATTGGGACCTTTCCATGAGATGCCAGTAAATATGCCAGGATTGCACCAGGCGCGTGCTTTTGGTACATATTTGTTTACATTGGGTATGCAAATATGCAGCCTCAAAGTTCATCTGCATATTTGCGTACTTTCGGCACCAATCCTTCATACTTTGTATAAGAGGCCTCACCTTTCCACTGATAATCATATAAGCCCTTCTGCAGGATCAGTCTCAATAAAGAATACTTAAAATGCTCTTGTTCCCAGACTATGGACATTAGATTATTTACATATTCCTAAAGTGGTTTTAAAGCCTTGGAGTTTTTTACCTTAATGCATTCCCTCCATTAAGGTAAAAAAAACAACCCACAGGTGTGCCCTCAGAGGAAGTAGCTTTCTATGGGATCATACTAAGAATAGGAGGAGCCAGGAGTGCCAGCGGGGAACCCAAGAACAGGCCCATGTGTGCAAAACCATTACACAGAGCAGGTAAGTATATATGTTTTTTATTTTAACAAAAAAAAGTCACCATTTACAATCACTTTAACAAGCAGTAGAAAAGCTTTACAAACAACCCTTTACTGGCCTAACTAGCTGCTTGTAATGTGAAGTAATTTGTTCTCAAAATCATCAAAGATCACAACAAAGACTTTTTAAAATACCTGCTGTGTGTTTACATAAGAGGGCCGCCAGGTTGCCAAGATTGTGCTTCCCACAGAAATTAAAGGGAAAAAAGTTTTGATTGCAATGTCTCTGTTTCGAGCTTTGAAGAAGAATTTTTTCAAAATGCTTATAGCTACAAAAGGGGTGTATAAAGGCTTGTTGGAAAGTGCTTTTACTGCTTGTTCAGAGTATGTTAATACTTTATTGTATCAAGTGAAACAAACATGTGAAAATATAAAATATATAAAAAATAAAGTCCAAAGTCCCAAATCAATGGTGGAAAGAATGTGCTCCAATCAGAAAACAGTGCTCAAAAAACTCCAACGTGCCCACACCATCCGTGACTTCCAATCTGGCCCGCACTCACCAAATGGAATGGACTCTTAGCTGGTAGGGCTTAAGAGTCAAACAAGCTTAA